GGTTCATTATACATGTATTAATACTTTATTGCGATAGCGTCCAACGAGCGTTCGATTCTAAAATACTTGAATTCTATTATTCCTGACGTTACCCAAAAACCTGCGAAGTCCCTTCTAATGACAATGGACACTTGCAATTTTTTCTTTCTTCTCAATGACATTTAACACTTGCACTGTGCCTCCAAACTAAGGGGCACGCACAATTTTCTTTTCTATAGTAGTTCGTAATTAAAAGCCGGTTACACTTGTAATGGTACCCGAATGTGATTAACTTCCAAAATACTTATGAAAAGTACTTATTTATGATGGAATGCACAAAACGACCAACTTTAAATGATTTGATTTTCAGTTGACATTTGCACTGATACAAGTTTTGGTAAAAATTCACAAACCATGTGACTTCCAAACTGCATTACACACAACTTTGATCCAGACTAAATCGAAAATTCTTGACGAGTGACAAAGTTCTCTTGAAAGTCATTGCGAAGGCTCTCTTATATGGAGCTCTAATATAATGGGAAAACTTTCCTCTATGTTTAAGTTCGCTATGCGTTAGAACCCGTACATAATACACCAAGGCCGATAACCCACTGGCACTGCGACAAAGGCACTAGCGCAAAATAAATCAAAGCACTTGGACATTGGCATTATACAAAAATTTCATCTATTCTTTTCATAAATGTGATTTACAAAATGAATGACTGCAAGTGTCCACATAAAAATCCAATCCTTCTTCATATCAACTATATTTTCTAAAGCCTTGCACATGCGCCTCAAAGTCCATCAAATCCTGCGCCTTCGCTTCGTACCGGCTACCACCTTTCGCTAGAGACCGCAACTCCTTCATGAGGGCCTATAACTTCTCAGTAGCTTTCGAGAGACTAGCCTTGACCACATTAACGCAAAGGTCACAAACCTAGCAACCCTCACTTAAGTGTTTCTCGATAGAAGACATTCTATTAAGATATAGGGGGGCTGAATGTTAAAGTAGCCAACTATTCATTTCGCTTGTTTCTTGATACAATGACTTCTCTCAAGAAACAGGGGGCTAAAGTATAAAAAATATTGAGCTATACCTTATGAAATGCTCCTATGATGTTTCCATCACTTACACTTTCAAAAAAACTCCGATGACACAGAGAGCAAATACAAGTCAACACAACACCCTATCGAAAAGACAAGAGGCTGAATCACAAAATGAAAACTCCCGATTCCCATCCAAGAACATTATTAAGTCGAATACCACAATGCTTATTGACAAGTTCATAAGACTGGGGCTACTAAACATACCCAAATAAAATTTTTTCACATGCAAAGTTTGCAGAGTATCTCACCAAGAACAGGATCAATCACCAAACTCAATGCGAAAATATTAGGATGCCACAACATCTACGATTCTCTTCCTCGCCCCATCGCAAAACCCCGAAGAAAACATGACGACAAAATGCTTATCAATAAGTTCCCACTTACTAATAAGTAGGTGGACTAATGTAGGTACATACTGGTTAATAAAACCATTAGAGTACAGAAGGTGTCAAACCAACACTATACAAACACGTGCGATGAATTCATAACCCATTACATGTTTACAATGAGTTCATCGCAGATTTGTGATTGTGATGAACTGATACTTAAAACGAGTCGTGATGAACTTCGGATGCGTGTAGAGTTGTGGTGAACCTGAGACCGTTACAGAACCGTAAAATCACAATAGATCGGGAATAAATGTCGATTACACGTGCATCTTTAAATTACTCATGCGAATTTAATGAAAGTACGCCCGCCAAAAGATGACGTCACCCGCACCACATCAGTATAATAGGATCGCATACGAAAATAATTTGAAAGGGATAGGATTCTCTAATAATAATACATTGATATTCAAACAAAAGGTAAGATTTCCTTTCCTAACAGAAAAGATCCTCTTTCCTAACAGGAAAGAACTTCTTCCTTGATAACCTTAACTTTGTCTCTATAAAAGGGGGGACTTTGGCCTAAGGTTTCTCACAATGGGGCAACTCCCCTCTCTCCTCTCTTCCCACACCCTCTTTCTTTCCCGTTGCTCTCTTTGAACATTCGAAGAATTGACCAACCGCCAAGAGTTCATGGTGAAAAGACCTAACTCTCCAGCTATTGCCTTTTAATCCACATTAGCTTTTTTGTCTTCTATCTAAAACATTCCTTTATTTATTGAGAGTAGACCTTTTGTTTTCCTTCAACCCATTCACTAAGGAACATAATATCTCCACCATTTTCCATCATTAACCTATGCAAGGAATCCAACTTTAATGTTAATTATCTATTACTCAATTTTTGTAACCATGATTTTATGTGCAATAAAATGTCAAAAGATACAAGCAATTTTCATTAGATTATTCATTCTACATGCAATCACATGGGCAAAAAAAATACATCATTGTAGACATTGATTTCACCAACCGATGGTGGTTCAGTTAGTAAATTTTCTGGCCGGTTGTAATAGAGATTTGAGATCAATTCCTCTATCATTAAGATTGTATTCACAGCTGATCTCTACTCGTTTTAGGCATGGAGGTGGGCTACTCGCATTGTGTAGCCCGATGAAGAAAAAAAGTCTTACATCCATTGACCATGCAGTAGGATGATCATTGAATTTCTTTTCTTTTTTTTTTTTTTTATTTGGTTCGTATTTAAAGGAATGGACAGGTCAGGTTTTGAAGATGGGACCTTACAGTCACAACAACCTTTTGGCATATTGGGGTTTAAGGTTAATTAGGCATAATTTAGTGTCTGTTTATGAGGGCATTCATGTAGTGGCTTATGGTTTTGCAAAGTGGGCATCATATGGAAAGCATAGAAGGTATGTTTGGTGATGAACCTGGAAAACCCCAATATACTTTTATTCAATTAAGACATCGACTTTCCGGTCCTTCTTCACAGTGGCTCAGTGAATGCAGCTCAATCAAAGATAAAGTCTTCCCAAATGGGACTTTAAAGGAATGGACTGGCATTGAAGATGAGACCTCACCACCACCAACTACCATAGCACAACTGTCAACATTGAGTGACAGAGCAGAATAAGTGGATTGACAGAATGGGCTTTGGGCTCGGGCCCAAATTGTAGGCCTGATTGTTGGGCTCCGGCTTGAAGAAAATCTGTTACTGACCCAAGCTTGGCCCCACCCGGCCTAGGAAGAGGTCTACCTCGGACATAACACATTAACACATTCCTATCAGTATGGGGTAAAAGTGTAATTGCACTCAATATTCAATTGACCGAAAAGACAAATAGGTAGCTGAATGGGTTGACGTGCCATTCACAAGAATAGTTACCCAACAGCCCAAGTTTCCTCTGGGTCAGTTGACTCAGATAACAGGTATTCTTATCCTTAGAATTAGGAATCAATTAAGGGCTCTACTAGACTGGGATAGGGCAAGGTTTTGGGCTATTTGAAGGCACAAATTTCCAAACGAAGTTAGAGTAGAAGAAGCATCTAGTAAGAATTTATTCTTACATAAAGAAGTTCAACTACAATGTGCTTTGATTTTCCTATTCAAAACTTAACAAATTACACTCACATTCTTGCAATCTTCTACTTAATGTTATTCCTATCTTATCGCCTACCCACCAATCCATTTGTTGAAAAATAGTAAGAAACCAACAAAACAATCAACAAATTATTCATTGGTTTATAAATAAAATCCATAGTTATATGTAACCGATAAAGTTCCCAGTAAGCGCATCACACCAAATAACAAAGTAAAACGAGCCCAAACACAATTAAACACAAAATTAAAGCATGCATATAGCAATGAATCATCAAATGCTAAAACAGTTCTCCGTATACCTAAACAAACCAACAAGAAATATTTAAACAAACAAATGCCAACGCCAAACCAAAGCTTTTCTTCCAAGCATGCCTCCCTCCAAGTCTCTCCACAAGTATTGGCATTGAAGCCTCCTCCCATTTGCCCTATCAAAACATCATGAAATCGAAAAACATAAGAAAATGGATTGTATTTAACCCAAGATTTTGACAACGTTATGTCCCTTCCAAAGTTAGTAATGTAGAAATGAAGTGGCAAGTGGCAACTAGGTGGTGTCAATGGACCAGGTATGGGTTGGGCTCAATTCAAATCAAAACCAGTTAGACCTAGACCGGGTTTGGACGGTCCAATATGTTGTGTTGAGTTGGACTGGTCCAAAATTTTGCAGGGCGCTACAAATTAAATTAAATTTGGGTAGCATAACCAGTTGGGGGATGCGACTTACCAAATAAATCATCCTTACCAGAGCGAGCTTAATTAACTGCAGTAGCATTTAATTCTAGTCAGAAACCCAATATCCGTCTTCAAAATGAAGAAAACGAACAATTGGGATGTGTGCAATTCTGTGATGGTCTTCGCCTTCAAGCCGTAGCCGTCTCTCAAAATCATTGGGCATACCAGCAATTGCAAGAATTACAAGGTTGTTGAGGAGTTCAATGCCTAATGGTGCCTCCTCTAGCTTTTCACAACCCACGATGTGGAGTTGGTCGAGTTGAGGCAGTGCTCCCTCCTCCACTGTTATCCTTTTGCATCCTTCTAAGTTTACCAGTTCTAGGTATGTAAGTCGTGGAAACCCTTTTGACCGAAAGCATAATTGTTCTCCATCATAGGCATGGCATATAATAAGCTGCACGAGGTTAGGCAAAGCTTGTAGGGCTTCAAGGGGATCATCCTTCATTCTAGACCACGATAATGACAACTTGGACAAACTATGCAAGGAAGGAATCCAGTGTGGTAACTTCTCTAAACGCCCTTTCAAGTATAAGCGCTGAAGAGGAGGAGGAGGAGGAGAAGATAGAGCTTCTAGGTCAAGAATCTCCCCCTCTTCTCTTGCAACCACATTCAAAGAGCGGAGATATCTCATTTTCTCAATGGATGAGCATAGATCTACTCCATCATCTCTTTTTAAGTTAGCAATCCCCAATCGTCTCATTTGTGTCGATCTCCCAAGCCCTCTAATTAGGTCATTATTGCTACTGTGTACTACAAATACGTAACAGAGCTTTTGAAGGGATACCAAATCTCCAATTCTGCTCGGTGCTTTAAATCCAACAAACTTAGAAAATAAAGATTCAGCCGCATCATACAGATAGCGATAAACAAGAAGATGTCGTAATTTATGGAGGTTGAGGATCCCAACAGGCAGTGCAGAAACATAGGTATCTTTAAGATCCAAGGTCTCAAGGTTCTGGAGCTTCTTGATAGAATCCGGAATCTCTTTGACCTTGGTGCTCCTCAAGCTTAAATACCTTAAATGGAAGAAATTGGTGAATTCCTCCAATGGGGCACCTCTCAAATCCAATACCTTGAGCAACTTGGGCCTAGAAAAAAAAAATGCACTTCTAAATGTGTTAGATAATGTATCCACCCTAAACATGAACAGAGAACGAAGGTGGATGAAGCTCTCTGCTTCCTGTGCAATTATAATTTTTTCGCAACCATTATGAATTGATAGGCGCCTGATTCTTTTATCTACCATTATTGTATCTTTCGCATCACCAGCAACAACTATGGATCCAAAATTCTGGTCCCTTGCTTTTGAAATAATGATTTCTCGGATGAGGTCATGGACTCGACATGTATCAACTCGTCCATCAGCAGTTATTCCTTCTATTTGGAAGAGTCTCCTATTAAGGAGCTCAAAGAAATAGCTCTCTCCAATCTCCTCTAAGCTCTTTATTCCTTGTTTTATTTGGATAAACCCTTCAGCCATCCACATCCTAATCAATCTCATGGGCTCAATCAATTCATCCTCAGGGAAAAACCTCAAATACAAGAAGCATGACTTTAGATGGTAGGGGAGATCCTCGTAGCTAAGGGACAATACATTCATGGCACTCCTTAATTTTTCATTGTCTACAAACTCATAGACAAGGTTGTTATATATGGTTTCCCATTCTACTTTAGTCTTTTGCTTTGTTGATAGAACACCAGCGATTGCTGTAATTGCTAGTGGCAATCCTTCACACTTGCTCAAGATATTTTGAGAAAGCCCCTCCAATTCTAGAGGGCAGCTGTTCTTAATGTTTGACCGAAAGGTCTTGTTGCAAAACAGAGTCCAAGACTCCTCATCAGACAGGGGATGTAGATTGTAGATATCAGGGTCAGATTTGATGATGCAAGATGAAGCTATATTTTTGAAACGTGTGGTGATCAATACTCGGCTGCCACAATTACTATCAGGGAAGACATATTGAACAGATTCCCATGCATTACATACCTCTTCCCCTTAAGAAACTCCAACAATTTCTGCTTAAGTTGAACATCGTTCATGGCCTCGACTGCCTGTGGAATTGCTTCCTTGTTGTATTGATCAAAGAGTTGCCTCATCATGTTGATCAACAGCTCCTCAATCTTAAATGATTGTGAAAATGTAATCCAAGCACGCAATTGGAAGTGTATTTTCACCCTCTGATCATCGTGCACTTTCTTGACAAGAGTTGTTTTGCCTACACCGCCCATACCAACCACCGATATTACTCCAAGGCTTGATTCACCCTCCACTAGCCATTCAATTATTTTGTTTTTGTGCTTGTCAATCCCCACGAGCTCTGCTTCCTCGATCAGAAGAGCATCTCCTCGACGGTCATGCCACATACTAGCAGGTGCAATCTGATCCATGCTACTATGTAATTCGTATCGCTTTCTCCTCTCAGATACACCATGGAGTCGGGCTTTAATCTCTTGTATCTGAGTGGCCAGTGAATGGCGTGTCTTAAAGTTCTTGATGAAGCGGCTGATCTTGTGAATATAGCTGATGATGAATCCATGTGATTGATGTTCTCCTTGTTCTGCAAAGCGAAGCATGAACTCATCAAGAACATCTTCCATGTCATAAGCCACATCTCTCACTTGCTTCACCCATGATTTTACACTTTCGTCAGTCTCGCTCTTTACATCTGCATCTTTTAGAAATGCTTGCATGCTTTCCAATTCAGCAACCATGTCCATTCTTTTTAATTTTACATTAATTCGTTTTTTCTTTTTTCTTTTATATATATTTAGTCATTTCCACTATTAACAATCGCATTTTTTCATTTATCACACGGTATGATATTAGAGACACATCCAAAATTTTTGGGGTAAACTATAACCTTGACCCCTTCCCTTTGTACAAACGTCATGAACCTAACAGAAATTGATGAAATACCCAAATTACCCGTAAATGAAAAGATTTGATTTTCCATTGACACAACCCCCGCCCCCGAAAAAAAATTCACTTATGCCATCTTTGGAAACCCCTAAAAGCATTTCCACCTTACAGCCATCAATCTAAATTTCGGATGAACCAATGTATATTGGATTAATTTATGCTACTAAAGATACATATATGCAGCATGTATGTTAAATTTTAGCACAAATTGGGCCTGGTTGAACAGATCAGGCTTTTGACCTTGGGTTTTGTCTGAGCTTGGTCTGAGGCCCAATTCTTAGGGTTGGGCCTGAGTTGAAATTTAAAATCTAAATCATCAATATATTTAAATGTCTTCTTATCCGTTTGAATTATGAATTGAATCACATGTATTTAAAATCGATCTACAGATACTTAAATCTAAAATTTTCATTTCTCCCACATTGTAATTATAGGCTGTGAACCAGGCCTGGCCTGGACTTATATTTGGGCCTATACTAAAGCTCTTAGCATGGGTTATAAGCCCGGCCTAGCCCATGACCACCCGTACATCAAAATCTCCTTGTTATAAAAGTCGAACTTATCAAAACGATGGTTACCATCAGATATATGGACTTTGGTGCTACAGAAAAGGAAAAAAAAAATTGTCACCAAGAAATTTTAATATATCAACCATGCTAGCAATATTTAAACAGAGGATAATTCATGGAAGTAATAAAATTTAACAAGTGGGATGTGTTCAATCCTGTTGCCTGATCTCAAATTTATTTCGTATACCAAAAATGTAAGTCCACTGAACTTCAATTCTGTGCCTTTGACATTTCACAACCAAAGATGTATATTTTCTCAAGTTGAGGCCGTGTTCCCTTTGTTAGACAGTTTATGTATGCCCTTAGCTTCAATCTGATTTGATGTACTTGTTATTTAGTGGAAATAAATAAAGTGCATGTTTGATTCATGTTGTTTGGTTTAATTCTGTGTAAAACCCTAAAACT